GAGGTAGTTTGGGGGTCCATGTTTGCCTCACTGGACTCTCAGATGGATATTGATTGGCATCCACATTTATAGGTCTAGCCTCTGAGAGGTGATCATCTTTGAAAATCTTCATCTGCTCCTCCACCTTCTAGAATATTCTAGGGCTCCCAGCTCAACCAGTCAAAGCTTGTTTTCCAGACTCTTCTACCCCACAGCTTCCGTCCTTTGCCCCACCCATCCTTACTGCCCCGCACTGTAGCTCTCACTTCCCTCCACCCCAATCCTGCCTTTGTCCTACTTTCCTCCAGCCTTGCAAGGGGAGCCCTGGCCCGCTGGCCAGGATGCACCCATTCCCCAGGGCTCCCTCGAAGTCCTGCCCGTTTCTCCTCTGTTCCTGGCCCCAGCTCCCCTCAGTCACTCTCAGACCTGCTGTCCACCAGGCTCCAATCATTTCCCGTTCTTATCCCTTGCTCAGCCTTTTCCTCCCAGAGGAAGAGCCCTCTTTTTCTGTGAGATTCTCCTGGTCCAGCCAGCCGCCCCTCACCCATGACCCTGCCCACTGCTGTCTCGAGGGGCCTGGAGACCCAACCCCAGATGTCCCCTTGTTCTGTCCTTACACTCGGTGAGCAACAGGCTTTCCCATCATGGGCGTTCATCTTTTAAATGTATTTTTGTGTTTTCAAATCTACTTTTTTTTTTTTTTTTTAAGAAACAATGTACATTGAAAAAGTGACTGATTTTTTAAAATGCTGAGGAAATAATAGGACAGGTGGTAAGTGGAGTTTGCAATGATGATGGACATTTAGAAAGCACTGCGTTTTTCCCATTCAACCTTAAATAGCCTTGTGAAGTTCAAGTATGTCCTGTTATTATCCCCACTGTGCAAAGTGGGCCCCATCTGGGTTTTGTGATGAATTCTGCATGTCATGTGATGTAGTTTAAAAATTGGCTTTATTGGAGAAGGGGCAAACATACAAGGCAAAGCTTGTTCCCCGAACCCCATCACTCACTGACTTTGGGTGCAGCCTTTCCCTCCGCAAAATAGGGTGAAGGCGACCTACTGGGGCTAGCTTGTTGTCTAGGCAACCCAGAGTGACATCCCGGGTCAACTTTGGCAATTGTGTGCATTGAACCATGACCCACATTCTATATAGATGCAGAAACAGGCCAGGGAAATTAAACTATTTGTCTAAGTCACACACCAATTCCAGCGCCTAAATTCAAAACCAGTCTACTAGTTTACATGGCAAGGAAATGAGATGATTTTAGGAAGCAACAAGAGTGGGATAACTCTGCCGTTTGTTCTCTGGGAATCGCTTTGCATCTCTGAGAAGTGAGGTGACATTCTGTGAGGACCCAGCCAACCACAAGGTGTACTGACCCTTTCCCTGTCCCTATGCGGCCCCGCTCCGCAGGTCCTCTGGGCAAGCTGGGAGCTGTAGGAGTTTGCTGCAAATTGCCTTTGCCCATTGTAAAGATTTAGCTGGAAGCTTGCTGGGCAATCAGTACCCAACTTAAAGATGACTTTGGCATTGTACATCTTAAAATGCTTTATAATCACTGGCAATGGTTCATGGTAGAGGTATCTCTAGACATTTTCCAGGTCTTGTTCAGAAACATCAAGATGAAACTAAGAGCTGTTTCTTTAATTCTTACTACACAGTTTTTAAGAAAGTCTTTAATATTCCATTCAACTCTTTCTTCTCTTTCTCCTTTCTTCCTCTCTCTCCACCGCCCGCCCCCTCGCTGGTTCTGAAAAATAAGTGTAGCCATAAATATGCAGGGCGTAGAAGGCTGACTTTTCCTATATCCAATAAAAACCCTGGGGAGTAATTGAAATAACTTGGCACAGCTAGTCAGGTTACATTCTGCATAATAGCAAAGAAAACCCATAGTGAGGAAAAGCTGCAGTAAATAGGAAGAAAGGCTGGAAGTAAAACCAGAACATTAAATAATGAGTAATTATGAGGAACTAAAACAATAACAACAGCAGCAGCAATAAAAACCCTTGTAGAATTCCATCCTTAGAAAAATAGTCAAGGAGCATCTTCAAAGAAGTTATACAAGACAACGTCTACATTTTAGGCATTTCTAAGGATTGCAAATTTAAAGAAAAGGAAGGAAATAAGCCCTCCCCCCACTTACACTCTGGCACCTATTTATTAGTCTTAACTCTGACAGAAGGCACAGGTTTTGATCCCATTTTGACATGCCTGTTTTTTTTTCATGATTAGGCTTCTCTCCCATCTCTTTTTCCCTGTTTCATCTTCACAATCTGAATTTTAAAGGAATGCTGTCAAGACAGCATACCACAAAAGGAGAAGCATCTACTACAAATTGTGCTTTGTATTTTTGGAGCATCTTACTTTGGTCTTTTTGATTTTACAAAAGATCACTGCATTCATTGTGGGTAGAAAGTAATGTTGAGTTGACAAGTCTGGGGCTTGGGAGAGAGAGAAATGCTGGCATTGTAGGCACAGGGAGCGTGCAGCTTAGAGTCCTATTGCTTGTTCCTGTCCTAACCTGACCCCTCAACTATGGGATCCCAGGCAAGCCCTTCACTGTTCCTGTACTCACTTTCTTCTAGGTTTGTTTTTTTTTTTTAAGTTTATTTCTGTGTAAACATAAAATCTTTAGGAAACAGAAAAGTATATATAAAAAAAAGATCATCCATAATTGATCAAACATAATGATTTTGGTATATTTTCTGTGATCTTCATATGTGAAGCTAGTTTTTTCTCTTATTTAAAAAAATATAGTAGGGGTGCCTGGGTGGCTCTGTGGGTTAAGCATCCAACTTCAGCTCAGGTCATGATCTCACGGTCTGTGGGTTCGAGCCCTGTTTTGGTCTCTGTGCTGACAGCTCAGAGCCTGGAGCCTGCTTCAGATGCTGTCTCTCCCTCTCTCTCTGCCCCTCCCCTGCTTGCAGTCTGCCTCTCTCCCTCTCAAAAATAAATAAACATTAAAAAAATGAAAAAAAATAAATAATACACTATAAATTAAACTATACCATCCAACTTTGTATCCCGATTTTTCTTTTGACAGTGTTTTGTCTTTCTAAATAAAAATATATGGCCTCTTCACCATTATTTTCTAGAGTGCATGATATTGAGCACAGGTGTTTTTGTTCTTTGTGTTTTATTATACATTGACAGAGAGCTTTTGACAGCTTTGGGGTTGTTTGTTTAGCTCACTAAAGGAAAAGAGAAAGTGCAAGGGGCTGATATTCACTTTGTGTATATGATGATTCACAGCCAGGTTCAATTCTAACTTTCCACTACATTGTCCATTGTGTTCATCTGCAGAGAGGTGAGGCCAAGCTCTTTCTGTAGATCATCTTAGATCACAGACCAGTGACTGTAGTATCTTTGTTGGTGTCTGAGTGTGGTGTAACAAGCTGGCTACAGATCCCAGCCCTGCAACCTTCTCTGTGATCCCAGACCATGTTCTTGGTCTCTGTATGTCTCTGTTTTCTCAGCTGTAACAGTGTGGGTATCTATCATTAGAATTCCTTAATTCTGAGAAATACATTTTAGCACATTTGACATTGGGTTGAGTCCTGCAATCAATGTGTACACTGTAATTCTTCCTTCCTTTTTCCTCCCTCAACACCCCCTTGAGCTATTATAATCAGTGGTATCATAGAACTGAAGACATATACTGATACTTGCCTTACAGTTTGTTGAAAAAAAAAGCTGAAATATTATACATAAAGTATTCTTAGCACTTGGTAAGAGAGTAATAAATAGCAACTATTATTTCATTAGTAAGAAAACTTATATTGTTCTTAGACTAGCGGAATATTTATTCTGTGTAGAATATGTATGATAAGACATACATTATTTACTGCTCATATATTTGGTTAAAACTTGTACTGCCCGGAAAAAGCCTTAGCACTCTTGTGAATTGGAAATGGCACAGGGATGGCAAATAGGTTTAGCTTTACATGCCAAGTCTAACCTGTTGATGGTGATTGTCAGATGTGCTGTATCGTAGGAATTGCTGAGGCAGAATCTGGGTGTAGCAGAGAGGAGTGCCAAGGTTGACTAGTGACATCTTAGGAAGATGGAGTGGCAACACCCACCCTAAGTGTCTGCCATCTCTACATCACGGTGTCACAAAACATTTCTTGGCAATTCATTTGGCATTAGCCAGGCATTGGTTCATCAGTCAGGAGTTTCACTGAAGTCCTGTGGCAATGGACTGTCTCTGGGTCCAAGGTGGGAGCTGAGAACCATGTAGGTGAGAGGCAAGGACACTGATGTCCTGGGAAACATGGGAAACTGATGGAGACCTGCAAGTCTCCACAACACTCTGAAAATACATTCATTTTCTTAATGGCTTTGGGGATTTCAGATATAAACACTTAGCCATTTATCTTAAAACTCCAATCTCAGGGGTGCTTGGATGGCTCAGTCTGTTAAGTGACTGACTTCAGCTCAGGTCAGGATCTTGCGGTTTGTGAGTTGAAGCACTGCATCGGGCTCTGTGCTGACAGCTCAGAGCCTGGAGCCTGCTTTGGATTCTGTGTCTCCATCTCTCTCTCTGCCCTTCCCCCACTCATGCTCTGTCTCTCTGTCTGTCTGTCTGTCTGTCTCTCTCTCTCTCAAAAATGAATAAACATTAAATAAAAAAACTCCAAATCCCACTAGAAATGTGGGAGACTTTGCATCACAAGGAAGGGCAGAGCCTTTGCAATGATCTTGATTTTACTCAGCCCTTGTTCTGCTAAGGCTTGCTTAAGTCTTGCCTCCTGAGCCTTGAATGCCCTGCCTTTCTAGAACTTTGCTTGTGGATGACTGACCTGCTCCCTTGCCTTGGTGTACGTCCTCACCACATCTTTTTCTTTCTCACCTCTGCTGTAGGTAAGATGCTGTATTTGAAGGGCCCTGGTGCTGGAAAGGGAGACTGTTCATTTTATTAGGTGGCCCTTGTTTTCTAACTCAGCTTTTGTGGAACTTATGAAATAAAATCAATCAGTAAAGGCACACTGCTGAAGGCTTCGATGGAAAGCTACATACCATTTCTTGAAATATTCTGGTAGTCTCTGTGATTGCAGTGGTTTCTTTTCCGTAAGCGAAGGTAAATAGAATTTTCTTTAATTCTGAAACAAATACAAAGGTGTATATCAGGACAAATACAAAGGTGTATATCAGGACATTCACACAATTAAGTTCAAAAACCTTGATTTTATTATGATTTTTCAAAATGGATGGTTCAAATGAACTCAGAAGATCAAATCTTTGCACACATGTTTTCTCTAAACTGTCAATACATTATTAAGAGTTGTGGGGTGCCTGGGTGTCTCAGTCTGTGACAGCTCAGAACTGGAGACCACTTTGGATTTTGTGCCTCCTTCTCTCTCTGCTCCTCCCCAGCTCATGCTTTGTCTCTCTCTCTCTCTCTCAATAATAAACAGACATTAAGAAAATTTAAAAAAAAGAGTTGTTACAAATAACAGTGCTATAAAATGGTTTGCATCAATGTAGTAAGACTAAACTTTTTCACTTTTGTGAAGTTCTCCAGAGTCATCCCTTTCTAATCTTTTTTACCAAGAGCTACTATAAGTTGCTTGAGCAAAGGTCATCTTGACAACTGTGTCCATTTTTAAATTTTATTAGGTTTTTTAAATTTTAATTCCAGTAGAGTTAACATACAGTGTTATATTAGTTTCAGGTGTGCAAGATAGTGATTCAGTGATTCTATACATTGTTCAGCGATTTTGAACCTGACCTTCTTCCCTTTCTTCTTTTGGTTGCTATGAGGCCGTGGCACACACCCTTGTTGTCCTTCAGATCTAGCTCTCCCCTTCATTTTAATAGAAGTTTTAGTAGGACATGATAATGTCACAGTGATGACTGCTTTACTCAGCTTCCCTTACAGTCGCAATTGGCCACCTCACTAATTTCTGGACGATCAGATAGAAGAAGTATCCAATTTCTGGGAATATTTCTTAGGAAACAATTGGCAAGTGCCCCTTGTTCCTTCTTTATCTTCTTTCTTCATTTTGATGCCCAGAGTGATCCCATCTTGGACTATGGGGGTATCTCCTACATTGGGAAGGCAGAGGGGTGAGCTGCAAGAACCCCGAATCCTTGAGAACCAGTGGAATTGAGCTCTCACACTAGAGCCGGATTCCACATTTCTGAAATTTTACGTGTGAGAGAAATAAACTAAAATATTATTTTATTTTAACCACCCATATATTGAGTTTCTTTGTTTACTTGTAGCTAAATCTAATACTAATGGACACAGAGTTTAGAGACAAATTTGTGACCAGTATCAGCTTATAACTGCATGTATTTTAAGTCGTTTTCTTGGCTTCTCTTTGTCCCATCCTTGATTTTCTATCTTCTCTTGCCAAGGTTTAATTTAAGTGTAATTTAATGTTATATCCTTTATACTTTTATAGGCTTCCCTAAAATCTTTTTTGAAACAAGACCAGGTATAGACTAATGAATGATAATTAAACTCAGAAGTACTTGATTACTCCTCAAATGTTTGTATCTTCTCTTTATTATAATAACTTCATATCTCACAACCTTACATAAATCACCATTTATTTTTAAGTGTTATGTGAGCCTCACTTATTATATTTTAGTGCTTGCCAACTGTCTCAGTGTTTCATAAAGGTAAACATGTATCAGGTTGGGAACTTGGGATGCACTGAAGGAGTATTCATTTCGAAGCCTGAGAAAACTAATGATAACATTTTTTGATAGACAAGCAAGATGTATGAGCAATATTTAAGTATGGGATTTTTACTTTGTGGTAGAATTTTTAGGCGAATGATTTATTTTATTTTTAAAAATCAAAGCTACCCATGCAAATAATTTTAAAAAGCCAAAGTTGTTTTACTTGAGTGATGTTTAATGGGCCCTACTATGTTCCAGAGACTGCTCTAGGCACCTGGGTCATACTGGTAAATGAAGACGATGAAGACCACTGCCCTGTATTGTTGAAATTCTATCAGGAAAAAAACAGTAAGCATCCTGAATGAACAAATTAGAGAGGATGCTAGAAGGCGGTAAGTGCTATGGAAAAAAGGAGGCAGAAGAAATAGGGTTAGAGTGGTCAGAGCAAGGCTCAATGAAATGGTAAATGTAAGCAAAGACAGTTAAACTATTTATGTCTATAAAGCTTATAGTGATTAACAGCAATCCAACACTCCCCTACCCTCCCCATTTCTCCATTCCCAGAGGCTACTAATTTCAGCCTTAACTGACTCTTTGGGTATATTCTTTCTTATCTCTAAATAACATACTTTCAAGTCCACTTCTTGATTTGTAGTCTATTTACTTCCCACCATAGAGCAGGGGGTTTGGCTATTCACAATTGATGTATGATTGCTTTCTCTTTCCTTCTAAATTCTTTTATTTCCCTGGAGTTAATAGTTGCCTTTTATTTGTTTGCTTAATTTTCTAAGTATTTATCATCAATTTACCCTCAAATTTTTCACAGTTGTTTGATCACCTTTGAATATACTCTAATGGATAATTTATTCATTTTATCTTGCAGAAATCTCTCCTGAAACCTCTGGACCTGCTTCCTCTGGACTTGCTTCCCTCTCACCCTGGTGCTCAGTAGATATCCTGAGAGCCCCCATCTTCATCATCCTGGAGATTGTCTTCACTTCTTCCCAGCTTAGTAGATCTATTTTCTAGAAGACCACATTTTTATTGTTTCTGACGGAGAATATTTTAAAGTAATGTTTGAAGGATGTGAGGAAAGTAACTTATTTTTTTTATCATTTGTATATCTAAAAATGTTTCCATTTTTTGAGTTGGTGAGGTATAATGTGGGCCCAGAAACAGCTTACACCATAAGTATAAACATAAATAAGGTAAAAAAAAATTAAAAACATATGTAAGGTTAATAAGACTTGTTGGGGAGAAACTTCAAGTTCCACTTGGTCTCTGAACACTCATTATCTTATACAAAGGTCTTTAAAAAATTTTTTTAATGTTTATTTTTGAGAGAGAGTGGCGGGGGGAGTATAAGTGGGGGAGGGGCAGAGAGAGACAGAGACACAGAATCCGAAGCAGTTTTCAGGCTCTGAGCTGGCAGCACAGACCCCGATGTGGGACTTGAACTCACAAACTGCAAGATCATGACCTGAGCTGAAGTTGGACATTCAACAGACTGAGCCACCTAGGTGCCCCTAGAAAGGTCTTTTAAACAGGACGTAGCTAGACTAGATATATCAAGGACAGCCTACATATTTTTAGGGAAAGAGGGTTCTGGTGTTTGTAAGTCACTATTTAACAATAATAGTAGATTTATGGTATAGGAGATTATCTGTTAAACAGGAGGAGTCCCAAACATGATGAATCATCTTCTTGCTAGGGAATCAATAGGAAGAAGGAAATAAACCTCTGAGACCATCAGAGTTTGTCTCTCATTGACTGGTGTGGTAGATTAAAGATGGCCTCATTATCTTTGACACCCTTACCCTTAAATCTTGGCTGTTATATGACTTTTTGACCAACGGGGTACGTTAGAAGTGATTCTATGCCAATTATGGCCCCATTGTTAAGATTCCTGGCGACTTTGTTCTCTTGAAGCCCTGATTCACCATGTAAGAAGTCTGACTATCCTGCTGGAAACCATGTCAAAAGATCCTTCAATGGAAATAACCAAAATGTCTTTCAAAAGGCGAATGGGTAAACAAAATGTGGTGTATCCATACAATGGACTATTATTCAGCAGTAAAAAGAAAAGAGCTATCAAGTCATGAAAAGACATGGAGGAAGCTTAAATGCATATTGCTGAGTGAAAGAAGCCAATATGAAAAGGCTATATTCTGTATGATTCCAACTAGGTGGCACTCTGGAAAAAGGCAAAACCATAGACACTGTAAAAGATAAGTGGTTTCTAGAGATTTGGGGAGAGACAGGAGGGATTAAAAAATGGAGCACAGAGGTTTTTGTGGGTAGGGGCAGTGATACTGATATATGATACTGTAACGGTGGATACATGCCATTATGCATTTGGCAAAACCCATGCAAGGTTCAACATAAAGAATACACCCTTAGGTAAACTGTAGACTTTAGTTAAGAATAATATATAAATATTGGCTCTTCATTTATAACCACACTAATGTACCACATTAATGCAAGATGTTGATAATAGGCAAAATTGAGGAGGAGATGACAGAGTATATAGGAACTCTGTACCTTCTGCTCAATTTTTCTGGATATCTAAAACTGCCCAAAAATTAAAGCCTTTTTTTAAAGTCCCTATCTGGAAAGGAAGCAGGACCCAATATTCTACAACAAACCCAATATTCTAACTCTCCTTCTCAAGCCTCAGTTATGTGAGTCAAGTCATATCTGACCCTTTAACCCAACCACTAGGTAGATACCATCAAGTTACCATGGTCAATATCACATGGAGAGGAAGAAGTGGCCAGCCACACTCATCCTGAATTCCTGATACCCTAAACTGTGAGAGGTAATGAAAATGGTTGTTGTTTTAAGCCACTAAAGTTTGGAGTGTTTTGTTACACAACAATAGTTAACCAGAACAGATGGTTATAGAATTCTAGGTTAAAATCATTTTCCCTCAGAAGTTTGAAGCTATCAGTTCGTTGGCTCCCAGCCTCCCAGTGTTGTTGTCTGAAGCTGCTCTGTGCCTCCATCCTTTGAAAACCTGCAGTAGCATCTGTTCAAGAGTTCTGAAATGTTGTGATGATAGGCTTGGGGTGGCTCTATTTGCATTCACAGTGTTAGTCACCCAGGGACCTTTTCAACCTGGAAATTCACATGTGTCAGTTCTGAGAGACGTTCTTGAATTATTTCATTGATGATTTCTTCCTTTCTTTTTTTCCTTAGAACTCTTATTATTTGTATATTGGGTCAGCTGGACAGGTCTTCTAATTTTCCTAGCTTTTCTGCCCTATTTTCCATCTCTTTGTCTTTTGTTCTATTTTCTGGAGGATCTCTTCAATTTCATCTTTAGTCCTTTTATGAAAACTATCTTATGCCACTAGCATAACTTCCAAGTGATATTTTTTGTTTTTTGAATATTTCTTTAATTTTAGTGTAACATTCTTGTTACACAAATGAAATATCTTTTCTTATCTTTTTGGAGATACTAATTCTA